CACAGAAAGCGGCAGGCATTATTAAACAGCCAGAAAGCGGCAGAGTTTATTGAGGAAGCTGAAAAGCAACAGAGGTTATTTAATACACAGAAAGCGGCAGAAATTATTTAACATGCAGAAAGCGGCAGGCATTATGAATTACACAGAAAGCGGCAGGCATTATTAAACAGCCAGAAAGCGGCAGACATTATTTAACATGCAGACAGCGGCAGGCATTATTAAACAGCCAGAAAGCGGCAGAGTTTATTGAGGAAGCTGAAAAGTAACAGAGGTTATTTAATACACAGAAAGCGGCAGACATTATTTAACATGCAGAAAGCGGCAGGCATTATTAATTACACAGAAAGTGGCAAAGATGATTTTAAACACCAAAAGCGGCAGAGATTAATAACTAAACAGAAAGTGGTAGGGTTATTATACATGCAGAGTGGCAGAGCGGCAGAGCGGCAGAGCGGCAGAGCGGCAGAGCGGCAGAGCGGCAGAGTGGCAGAGCGGCAGAACAACAGACATATGAAGTGCGGCAGACATATGGAGTACGGCAGACATATGGAGTGCGGCAGATAATATTAATCATGAAGAAAGTGGCAGATATTATTGAATACACAAAAAGCGGCAGCCTTTATCAGGTATGCAAAACCGGCAGACATTTCAAGTGTTCAGAAACCAGCAGACACTACAGCATTTGCAGGGAGCGGCAGCCATTGTCAAATACCCATGATGTAGGCCACTATGCAAGATCTCTACATTCTGTTGCACAGGTGCTTGCCTATGACTTGTCAATGAAGGTTTCTCACCTCAGATAGGCTCCTGCCTCTGCCGATCCCTTGCTTTTCACTTATCAGTTCGAGTCAGGGGTATTTTTCTGTGTAAAATGGTGCATCAATCAGAAAGAGAGTCACCAGCATTCAGCCTTGATCCTGACTTTTGACCTAATCCTAGATACTTTTCAAAGGATCTACATGATTATAGGATGCTTTTGTTGGCATGTACAGTATGTAGAGCCTTATCAGTGACTTTTTGGAAATTAGGAGACTTTTTTGACATAGACATCGCCAGTCTCTGAGTGGTTCTGCAGGATCATGCTCTAGGGGAGTGTTCTGGCACACTTTTAGGACCTTGTTTGATGTCTCTAAGTCAATGTGTATATAACAGAACATAATCTATTCCCAAGTAATTGCAGAAAATACCGAAAATACCCAAAAAGTGTATGTTATACAGAACACCACACTTTATTTGGAGTGTTGATAAAGGATCAGAGACCATGGACAGCTTCATAGCATTCATTTTCATGGTATACAACTCTGCAACCTCGAATTCCTACTCTCCCCCTCATGCTATAAACCAAAAGCACCATCAAAAGCACCAAAGTGAAGGAATTTGTATGTTTTCTCAAGTCTATGGCCTCTGGAGATGGCTGATAACACTTTCAAGGCTTGAAACCATGTTTGGTAACATGTAGATAGGTGACAAAAAAGATTTGCAGGAGATCAGGTGGGATCTTCAAAATTATGTTTGCATCCTGCATGATTGTGGACCATTCCATATTTCTCTAAGCCTCCACTATCTATGCAGTGGGTTACAATGTATCAATCTTC